ATGTACCTGCTCTTCCAATACCACCGTTTTCCTGGCCCACATTATTGTTCATGCCATACCGATAGCCATCATTATCTAGTTTTCTTCTTTTAATATCTCCCTCCAAACCAGAAGGGGTATGTGATTCAGTATATGCTCTCTTCAATTTCTGCTGCACTTGCTTTATAACGTTTGCTGCTTTGGTTGCAATAGAAGGATCCTTGCCACCAACACCAAGTGCTCCAGATAGTGTATCTTGCTGGATGTTTGCATGTTTAAATGAATTCGGACCTGCTTGTCCTGATCCTGATTTTTTAGCAGCTGCACCATTTTGTCCTGTATCAAAAGCATTCCGACTAGGTGCATGACTACTTGAATTTTGATGCTGCTGGGGAGCAGCAGGATTGGAAGATTTGGATCGGTGGAAAGGTGAAGCTGCCTCAGTAGCCAGAAAGGCCTTGTGACAATTGGGACAAAGAAGAGTATGGTTAAGATATATCTTAAGATACTCATAATGCATCATGCATCGATGACAAATGGTCCAGAAAGTATCAGTTCTGGGATGGGATGGAGTAGGAAGAGATGTGGGGGACACCTTTGCCCCATTGTTCTTGGTCTTCAGAACCGATGTTGTCCTACTTGCAACGTTATGATATCCATTTGCAAAGGATGCTGCTGATGGACCACCTGCTTGCATGGGAACTTTCTGTTGGATTTCCCTAGAACCCCTCCTTTGATTATAAGCAAACCTCTTGGCTGTAACAGATAACAAGCTCCAGGCTTCTGAAAGAAGCTTAAATGCTCCATCAGCACCAACAATTTTATTTTTATCAGGGTGAAGCAGGAGAACCAACTTTCTGTATTGTTTTCTTATTGTTTGATCATCACAGGATGAATTTACACCAAGTACTCCATACCAGTCTACTTCCCCATTAATTTTGTTCTCCCCAGAAATGTACACATCAAGTGTTGTCAACAACTGGTTAATACCCTCAAGTCCTGGAAATAAATTACGCGCTTTCAAGGCAAATTTTCTTGCAACTGTAAAATCTTTTTTCACTAGCTTGTCCTCAGCAATTTTTTTTGCTCTTAGGGCTTCATCTCTGTTGCAGTCCATGCTTTCACAATGAAGTGGCTCCCAAATGTTCACCTGCTAATCGAATTCACTCTCTCAAAATGGCATCATAATAGTTCAAATGCCTAAAGATCTGCCGAATGATACAAAAGTCTAACGTTGGTTCCTTAGGATCTCCCCAGAACAAAGATCCTATTAAATCTCAATCGTCAAACACCTGACTTGCAGAAAAAAGAGAAACGTGAATAATTACACAGCATGATATAATATAAAATGCGAGGACAACATCAATACAGAATTCTCAATCCCAAATTGATGTATAATATAGGTCTCAACCACTCATAAATAACACCTGACTAAGCAAACCCGCCATTTAAGTTGAAACAGTTCTCAAATCCTTAGGTTGGTAGTTGAAACTGGCACACTTACATCGGTCAACTTACCACAGGAAAATAATAATAATAATATGTAAAAGCCAAGCGGTGAATCTCATGGTGAAACGTAGCAAGAAATTTCTAGTTGCTGTATGAGCTAGCATTCAAAATTCAAATTCAAAATTCAAAATTCAAATTCAAACACACCTCTATACCTAAATAAGTCATCTCAATAATTTGAAACATATCATTTGTCAACAACCAAATCCAGATCCATAAACTATGATTTACAGGAATTTTATTCCTTGTAACATTCAGCAGCATGTATAAACATGTAAAGATGTACTGCAAGAGGCTTAGCGGGTACATTATTATTCTTTTTCAGAGCAAGAATTCATATGCAAATTACTTCAAAGTGCACAATAAAAGAGAAGGAACAAAGAAACAATAGAGAGAAAACTGAGAATTATCATGAGCTTAATTCAAAAGCTGTAATTGTATAGACCAATTCAAGTTACAATTAAAGCAACAAAATTACCCAAATGTCCCGATACACGAAAATTACAAAGTCACAATCGATCTGAACACATTAAAGTTATAAAACGAGCATCAAAACCTCAATTTCATTTTCGAATCTAAAGGTTCAATACTCCGGGCTGAAACCCTAGATTGAACACCAATATTTTTTGTCTAAACACAAAAAAAAAAAAAATCAATTGAAAATTGAAAAAGAAAGATTACCCGTGAACAGTAGAATTTGAATCATCAGAAATTGAATTTTTTCAATATTTTTCCCACCAAATTGAAATTGAAATTGAGGGAATGAAATTTTTGGTCAAAACCCCCCGAAGCTAAAGGAGAAATCTGAAATGCCCAAAAACTTTCTGTAATTGAAAAATAAAAATTATTAGGTTGAGATTTGCTTTTATATTTTTACACCAACTTTTGTAATAAACCCTAACTGGACTTACAACTTAACTAAGGTTAATTAACCCTTTGGTATCAATTATAAGGCTATTTGCATTAGAGGTCCCAAACCTTTTGAAAATATGTCGCAATTTCATACATCTAAATCATAATAAATAGGGAGAATTGTAGCCGCAATTCCAAAGCCTTTCAGATTATTGCAAATTATACCTTAACTTTTAATTTTTGCAACCAAAGTATCAAACATTTCATCTTAGTATCTATATATATATATATATATCTTTTTTTACGAGACTGTAGGTGTTACAAATAAAATTTGAATATAATCTACAACAAATTGAAAGATTCGGGATTACAGTTGCATTTTTCTCATTGGCCCTCTTAAATGGAGTTAACTTCTCTACTCATGCACTTCGATGGTACGAGATCTTTCATACAAAAAAAGGGTGATCTATAGTGTATTTTGCCAAAATAAAGAGATGAGGGGTTACTTCAAACTAAAAACAAAGGTCAGAGAGATTTTTCGTCGATTGCCCTTAAATAGATATGAGACAAATTTTTTTTTTTAATTTGAAAATCATTTTTCAGACCCAGTTCAACTCTTA